AGCTGCTAAAAACTTGCTAACTTTGGGAAGAAACCATCTGATAGGTTTTTAAAGCAGAACATAGGAACAAAGTGATGAAGAAATGAGCTTTTGCATGTTTCAGTGAAGATGCAGAAAAATTTTAGAGGCACTCTAGATTTGTTAATCATACCAAAGTTTTGCAGATTTTTGCAGATCTTTGCTTTTCTTTAGGCTTTTTAATACAAGCAGAGTATTGTTGTATTTTAGTGGGATGGTTTTTTTTTGGCTACTGATGTGGTGTATTGATAAAAGCTATGGTATATTTATACCATTTGTGTTGGTAGTTATTTCTGTTACCTGTTCTGGGCCTGAAGTGCTTCTGTAGCATTTCTGCTTTGTAAATGTAGTTTTTAAAGGATGCCTTTCAATTGCCTAGTTTATTCATGAAAATATGAAAAATCTTAAATAATTCAACATGTATTATCAGTTTCCACTGTATAGCTTGTAGCAGAGTTGATCAGAAGTGCTAATTTAGGATCCTAAAATGCAATTTAGTAACAAACCAAAATAGAATGGGTACATAGCCTAGAGGTGTTTTTATGGCCTTTGTTGCTCTTAACCACACCTGCAGTATGGGAGGCATGTGTTGGTATGTGTGAGAAAGTACATATTTTTAAGGTAAGTCTGTTCTTGTTTAACTCCTAGGCATATTTATTGAGAAAGATTTTTCTTCTGGTGAATGACAAAGCAAGGAAGTGACTGAACACACTAGTTTTGATGCATACTAAGTGAACTGAGGAGACTTGAAATGTAGAACATCTTTTTTTCTCATGTTAATAGTCCATTCATCTCACTGTAGTGCTGGGGCTTAATCTTACTGGGATATTTAGTTGTATGTAAAATTATTTTGAAAGCTCTTTGCTCTTTCTTTCTTTAAATCCCTGTCACAGAAAGTAAAGTTTACTTGTTGGAGGTGTATTTGTAGCAAACTTCCAGTCTGAGATTTCTGTAGCTGGTTTTGTTTAGTTTAACATGGAGTTCTCGAAAGCTGTTGGAGAAACGGTGAAATACTCCGCAGTTTAGCCTGTACTGTGTCCTGTCTCTCCAGGTGTGGTTGCTACCAATAACTAAGCTTGCTCACGTGTGTCCACCTGTCCTGCTTCTTAGCAGTGACCAAAGTGTTGTGTTGTCTGTGTGCTGAGCCATCTAAATCATAAGCAAGATCTGTTCCGTTTGGAGACATTCAGCATCAGGAAGTCCCAAATGGGATATAGGATACCTCTAGTTTTTCTGCCTTTATTCATGTTTATGAATTCTGCATCACTTTAGAGGCTCAAAGCAACATGAGCTGTTTGAGATAATAGGTGCTATGGCTGCACCTGCATTGAGCTTGTGTGACCAAGCAATGAGCTGGATGGTTCAGAGGGCTGACCTGGCTGAAAACTAGTGGCTTTTTTTTCTTTTCTTTCATTTTTTGCCTGAGTGTTTTTTGACCAACTCAGCTGTCTGAATGGGCTGCCTGTGTGATGGTATGGATGGGAGAGGAGGGCTGGACTACAGTATCCCTGACTTGCATTGACTTACAAAGAAGTAAAACTGCACCCTGAGACTCTTTTCATTTTGTGCTATTTAAATTAGTAAACATTACAGATGATTGCAAGAACATGAAAAAGAATTTTAGAACTGCATGCTTGATATGTTGTGCTTTAGACTCTCTATATGTTCATGCCTGTTTTCCCTATTTTAATCGTAGGCACAGTTATTTAAACATGGCAAAAGAGAAGATTGTTTACCATATGGTAAGTTTGGAATATCCTGATTTTTGTTTTTAAAACAATTCCAATAAAAAAAGGAAAGAAAGATTAAACTGATAACAAGTGGTGCCGTAAAGAGTAAAATTAACAGGGAAGTTATAAAGCATGCAAAATGAGGGGAAAAAAGAAGAGATAACAAAGTGAGGGAGGAGCAGATACAACTGGGGAATGTTGTGTTGGAACATCTCATCAAATAATTTGGCAGGTGATAACATTGGCCATTGCTATAATATAGAAGCTGAACATATGAATTATAAGATGTGGAAAATATTTTAAAAAATTCATTAGAACGTAAACTGATTTTATACATATTACTGCTGAAAATTTTGCAGAAAATCTTCAAGTTTTAACATAAGCACAGGTTGTCGGAAAACCCAAGGTTCAAGACAGTGTTTCGTACAGGACCTGGCTGGAATCATGTGGCAATACTGTTGAAACTAGGAAAAGATTTTCATGTAAAGAGCTTCTAACAGATGCAGTTAGTGACAGATAGGTACCTGAAAGGACAGCACAGAAATTTCTGAACCTTGTAGCTGCATGTTGGAATTACATTCATCTCATGGTGGATCCTGGAATATAGTCAGAACTGACTGCAAAAGACTGGTTTGTTTTTTATGGATAGCAGTAAAGAGAGGTTGGGAAAGATGGTGACTAATTACAAAACAGTACAAAAGAGCTTGTCAGTTTTGTGGAGCTTATCAAAGCACCAGAAATGTGGTTTGTGCTATTCACAGGAATCAAGCAATGATATAAACTTGCTTTAGAATACTTGTGATTTCACTTAATAGAATTATTTTGACTTCTGAGAAGAAGCTTCATAGATGTAGTGCTGGGAACAGTTTCGTTCTCCCAATTACTAAGTCTGAGATGCAGATGCTTCTTCACAAAATGCCTGAGATATGGGTAAAGATGGAGATAAGATAGTGAAGACAAACAGAACGGAATGACAGATGTGCTGTACATCTGGTCAGGAACAAACAGAAAATATTGAGGAATGTAGTTGCGTAGCAACAGCAGACAGCGCTTCAGAAGAATACTGAGACTGCCAGATAGGCAGAATAAGAAGCAGGCTATATAAAATATGGCGTAACACAAAATTATGTAATTTAAAAGATGCAACTGTACAACGCAAGAGTAATAATCGTTATGGAAAGAATATATTTGGCTCACAGCATTAACCCTGCTGGTAAAATTAGGTGTTTTGGCCTACAGTATATAGAAAGAATATTAAGTAGTTATGAATCTGGTGATAAGACAAAAATCAGTGGCATACCAATGAATACATTTACTGTAGAAAAGACAGAATGCTCACAACTAAGAAGCAAATATTTAGACAAAAACTATTGGGATAAGAAAATGAGAGAGACAAAAAATATTGAAGATTTTTAATTATTACAGATTATAACAGATCTGAGGGTCAAATAGGAAAAAAATAGATGTCAAAGGAAGATACTGTTTGAAATATTTTTATAACATAGAACTTGATTTTAAAATAGAACAATTTGATTTCTCAGTATTTTGAAAACTCCGATATGAGACTGGAGTAAGAGGTTGCAGAGAATGTTGCCAGTATAATTCCATATTTGCACTGCTTATGGCAAGAGCCCAGGTTGTTAGTCTAACTAAAGATCAGCCTTCAAAACAATCATTGTTTCAGTCTGAAAATGCAAAAGGACTATTTTATTTGTAACAGGAATCCTGGAACTTTATACTCATTAATCCAAGATTCTCCTTTTGTCTATGGTTTTTTGCTTTGCTGGACAAATAACTTTGTTACCTTTGATGTGCCCAAATGAAAGGTTTTGCTGCTGATTGTTTACACATACACAGTATTTCTCATGTCTAAATGTTTATGGACATTCATCATCATAAAAATTTCTGTGCCAGGGGAATTAAGTTGGTGATGCCTGTAAAAATAAATGAGGAAAGGGAACACTTTCTCAGTATGCAGAAACTGGCTGCAGAGTAAGTGAATTAGATTTTCTGAGTCCTGGTTCTGTTAGACTACTGAAAATTCTTAGACTATGAAAGATACTTGAATGTGTTACTTCCAGTGAGAATTAGAGGCATAAATAGTCTCAGAATCTAAATTCATTATAATTTTCATAGTCAAAAGTAATCCTTAAAGCAATCCTTCCTGTTTGGTAGGTGGAGGATATTAGCACTATTTGACCAGTGTCAAAGCTACTACAAAGTAGGTAATAAGGCATTTGCATTTCAGTAATGCCTTTAAAAATCAAAATTTTTTAAAGAAGTTTTAAAACTTTGCAGAATTTTCTTATTGAGATTTCTTTAAAAACAGTTTTTCTAGCGTGTTTATTTTCTTTTGCAGCTGCTACTGTACTTGAGTGTCTTGATAACTGCAAGCTGTCAGAAAGTAATCAGATGGTTCTTCGCAAGCTAGGGATGAAACTTGTTCAACGACTTGGAATGACATTTGTGAAACCAAAGGTAGCAAAATGGAGGTTAGTTATTGCTGAAAGAGTTTTAAAACATAAATAAATCCAAAAGCACTCAAAAAACTTAAAAATACCTAAATCCATGCATTTGATTACTGACCTTCTGCCCTCCTAACCTCCCCTGCCCTGAAAGAGAAAGAAAGAAATCTCCATATTATTTGGGAATGAACACATTCTTCATTTGCACTATTTGGAAAAAGTAGGTTTCTTCTGTTGTATTTAGTTTCTTGTAATTTTTTTCTTTCAATTTTGGTATAGTAAACTAGTGCTGTGACAAGCCAAATCTTCTGACTTTTCATGTTGCACATTACACAAGCAGAAGCCTGCTCGTATGTAGTGCATAACTTGGTAGAGATGGGAAGACAGTGACCTTTGTTACTGAAGTTGATTTAGTACAATTTTGTAAGAGTGAACATAACTTTTTCCATTACATAGTTCTACCCTGATTTGATAGAAAGTTCACAGGGGAAAAGTGGTTTGCAATCCCACTTTCGTTTTGCATATTAGTCAGGTTTTGGTGTCTGGTTTTACTTATTGCCAGAGGGCAAACTCTTTTTTAGATTTCTCGCACTGATATTTTAAAATTGCAGACTCCCTTGGTGACTATTTTTATTGTATTTCTTTTACCAACTTTTGAGAACATCCTTAGGCATAGAAAATTCTTTTTAGGTGGAGAGTCTACCTTGCCCAATGGCAAAAGTCAGTTTAGCATGTAAAGTGTATCTTTTGTAAGAAGGTATCTACACCACAGGCTAAATATCTGAGTACAGCTTGGGCAGAAAGTACTGAGCTAGCTTTACAATTTAAAAAACAATCTTTAATAAGGTGATTTTTTTTTTTTAAGGTTTTGGAGAGGCTTTTAGGGCATGGGAATTTTGCCTCTCTTTATTGTCAGCAGTGGAAAGTAGGTTATACTGAAGCAGGAAAGGGAGAGATAATGATGAGAAGGAACCATTTAAATAGTCTAGCTTTTCTCAGCTTGGAAAAGAGACAACTGGGTCAGGAGGAAGGAGAATGGGATACTTTTCCCTTTCCTTTAAAGCAACCACTAAGTAACTGGAGAGCTGTATGCTGGGAGGTGTAGTGACTTGACAAGCAGGCTTTATGACAGTATGTACCCATTTCACCAGGAACTTAAATCAGAAAAATAAAAAATTAACTGTGTCTGTTTCTTGTGCAGATACCAGCGTGGCTGTCGATCCCTGGCTGCCAATCTGCAAATTCAGGGTTCAGTTGTGCAGACTCAAATGGTAACAGTTGCTGCTAATGAAGCTGACGATGAAGAGGAATATGACATTCCAGGAGAGATTGAAAATGTTGTAGGTGTGTTAAAACTGGACAGAAATAATTGTAATGGCTGCAAATTAAACATGTATTGGAAAGCAACCTGCTTAGGGCTAAGAAAGTATGTGGATGTCTGTGCTGATGTGAACAACTTGGAAAGACTGTAAAATTTCAGTCTATGCAACTGATTAAAATATACTGTATTTTTGTCAAATGATTTGGATTTCAGCATTTCAAGCAGAAACTCAATACTGTAGCATTTGTTGTGAGGCTGGGGGATGGAGTTGTTGAAATAAATTTTGCCAATTTTAGCCAGTAATATGAAAGCGATATCTTGAACCTTTCACAGATGGAAGGATGAATTAAAATTAATAATGAAAAACAAAAAAAAAGTGTTACACAAAAGCTAAAGAGTTATGGTTGAAATTTTTAAGCTGTGCTAGTATCAAAGGAACAGCATTTTTTTATTAATATGCAGTCATACAGCAGGTCCTCTGCTACCTTGCTGGTGGATATGCTGTAAATAAATAGGCAAAAATTGTGTCAGAAGGCTTTTATAATTGAACATCTTTCTTGTTTCTTTGATTTCAAGTTGTACTTGTGTGACAAATAGAAGAAATCTAGATACAAATATTATTCAAACTATGAATGTTTGAATTATGTTAGGAGGAAAATGAATTTTGAACGTTGGTTGTTAGATTAGAATAATCTGTTTTGTTTAAATTATCTGCAGAGCAATTGTTGGTTGGACTGAAGGACAAAGACACTATTGTCAGGTGGTCTGCAGCAAAAGGGTAGGTTTCTTGTGGTTACTCTAAACTAATAAACATAAGTAAACCCCATAGAAATACAGTCATATGTAATCCATGATTGATAGTTTGTGTGTATTGTCAATATTCAGTTACTTCAAATGGCTTTAGCAACAGCTCATGGTATAAAGCCGTGTTTGTATCTTTTCCTGTTACGATATTGGGCTGTTCTTCAGGAAAATTTCAGATAGGTTTGGAAATAAACATTCTCAGTAAGACTTAATTGGAAGGGTGTAAAGTAGCATTTCTTCAAAATGTTTCTTCCTCTTCCACTTTAAAAAATTGTATTTCTGTGTTGTTTGCTACTGTGTAGCTTTTGCTTTAGATTGTTGGTTTAGGGTGGTGGTATTAGGGTATTGCATTGCCCTCTTGAAGTCAGTCATCTTATTCTAAGTTTCCAGTAACTAAAATTTTGTAGGACTTATTCATCAAATGAAGTACTAATGAATCACTGTATGCTTTGTTTTTTTCTTCTTTTAACTTTTCTAGAATTGGCAGAATAACTGGAAGACTTCCAAAAGAATTAGCAGATGATGTGATCGGGTCTCTGTTGGAATGTTTTAGGTAAAAATCTTATTTCATGCTTTACATGCATCTGAAACATATCTCCTTGTGAAACAGGAGGACAATGATTAGGAATACAGGTCTAAAAATCTGTAAATCTTGTTGGCCTTCTTCTCCTGTATTTCAAAATCTTCTAAGGCACAGATGTGCTGAGGGTGTTCACGACACTGTTCCTAATCCTTCATCTTGAGCCCATTCTGCAGTAATGTGGAAGGACTGAGGTTGAACTTTGGAAAAATAAAAAATGCTCATTAACCTGCTGCTTTAAAACTTCCTGGTGTGCTCATGCCTTGAGTGTTGTGTGAACTTCAGAAGCATAGCAGAAGTGGAAATGATATTCAAAAGGTTTCTGAGGATCACCAGAGATAAGAAGCAATCTATGTGGGGGGAGGCTAAAACATCTAGGAAGACTGAGGAATAAAAGGGATATAATGGAGGTTTATGAAATCATGAATGGCATGGAAATGATTGCCCTCTGGATTTTATATTATTAGAAGCAAACTAACGTAGCAGGTGGCAGGTTTGGAATAAAGAAAAGATGGTGTTTATTCACACAGCACATAGTTGAACTGTAAAAACTTCTTGCCGCAGGCTGTTATGGATGCTAAGAGCAGATGCCTGAACAAAAAATGTTTTTATTTTCTGCAAGCTTGTCCATGATCAGCCAGAATTTGTGTTTTGCAGAGTGTCACAATGTTCTTGTTCTTACACTGTACCTGAAGGCATGTGCTGTCAGCCGTGTCAGAGAGAGGCTTCTGGGCTAGCTGAATCTTTGGTTTGGTCACACATAGCTGCTAGCATGTTCTTTTGATGTGCTTTATTGTTGGATGTCTTGTTTCTACATCCATGTAGAGCATGTAAAGGACTCAATTACTAAACAAGTATCATATGCTTTTTTATATAAAGTTGTTCATCAGGTCTGCATTGAGGGCTTGAGCTTTAAAATCTAAACTAGTGTTTTAGGCTAAACTAATAACAAAAAGAATGATTTCTTTATTGGCAAAAAATATTGGTGACGTTCAGTTTGCCACTCAGATATACTCAGTTTTAGAAAGTCTTCTCATACTGGTTGTGAGTACAAATTAGAAATAGCAGCTCAAAAGAATAACACATTAAAAAAAAGAAGGTATAAAGGAAATTATCTACTTAGCTGATACTTCCGCTGCGTTACTGTGATTAATTTAAGAGGTGCTGTTGATCTCAATTATCCCTGGAGCTTTAAAGACCTGTACTCACTGTGTTTTTTTCCCTTGTTTTTCAAGTCATAGGGGTGAGTAATCCAACTAGTAATTGAGTGGCCTGCTTTCTTCAGAAACACCTGGGAACAAATGTAGACAAGGACAAGGGGAATCTATTCAGTATTCTTTGCAGTAAATATCTAGTGACCAAAATAAAAATAATTTGGATGTTCATCCGGAAGCACCTTCAGTTATATCTCCTGGGATAAGTCGAAAGGATTTTTTATATATAGATAGATTAAAAGACTAGAGACAGGGAAGAAATAGGTGATCATTTTTCAGTGTGGTGAGATTATCTGCACAGTCCCACAGGAGTCTGAATGAGCCCTGTGCTGTTCAAGGTACTCATAAAGGATCCTGGCAAAAAGGTGAACAATGGGGTGAGGATATCAACTGATGATTTGAAGTTAGCTAATGTAGTGAAAACTAAAGGTGACAGAAAAGAAAATATTATAAAAGCCTACATTAAGTAACTAGACAGTAATTGATATATGAAATATAGTGTCTAATGAATGCAAACTAATGCACTTAGGGAAAAGTACAGCTAGCTATAAAACAGTTATTACTGCTCAGGAAAGACATCTTGAAGTCACTGATAGTTCTGTCAGAATGTCAGTGGAGTGTTCAGCAGCTGTCAGAAAAAAGAAGGCAAATGGAACTTTAGATATTATTAGTAAAGGAAGGGATAACAAAACTGAATCACTGAAAAGTGATTTAACTGATAGGGATTCTTCCAGATGGAAAGAGAAAGTAAAGGAATGTAATGGAGATCTATAAAATCATAAATATGAAAGAAAGAGGGAAAGTGAGTAATTGTTTACTTTTCTCATAATGCGAGAACTGGGAAGCATCAGGAAGTACATTTTCACGCAATTATAATTAAACTGTGGAAGTCGCTGCCACAGGATGTTGTGGAAGCCAAAAGTGTAAAGAGAGTTCCAAAAGGGATTATACAAATTAGTGGAAGAGAGTCCCATCCAAGGTTATTAAATACGACATTCTGGCTACAACCTCTGGCTTGGGAAGTCTCTGTACTGCTGATTGCCAAAGCTAGGACGAGGCTGAGAGAGGAATGATCCTTTGTGCTCCATCATTGGCTAAGCATCTGCTGCAGGTCCATGTCAGAGACAGGACACTAGGAGAGATGAAGCTCTGATATGACCTAGTCTGTCTCTTCAACATTTTATTCTTAGATTCCTATTCTGAGTTTAATACAAAATGAACTTTTTGCATGTTAAGTCATGCAGCGTGCAGCTTTTCACTTTTTCACTCCTTCACACTGCCAGTCCAGCAAAAATTGTGTAGCATTTTTTGTATTTTTTGCTGTCTTCACCACAAGTTGCTCTGTTTTATCTTTTTTAAAGGTGGATATACGCCACTGTTTGCTCACTGCATAAGCTCCTATAATGTGTTTGTTGGAAACTATCACTTGAACCTGCTTTGCTAGTTAAGGACTGCGTTTGGCCCTAACTTCGTTAGTTATTTTGGGTATATTCTGTAAATCTGCATCTTTTGCCAGTGTACTAGAAAGCTATTTTTCTTTTCTGTATGAGTTTCAGGTATTGTATTCTTCTGTGCTGAAGTTACATTTATATGGGTAGATTTTCTTACTTATTTGTTCATGTTTATAGCATTTATCGTGTTTATAGTATTTATATTGCACAAAATGGGAAAGAAAACACGTTAAACTTGTCATTCTTATATTTTAGAAGTCTAACAAGATTAATAACACAATCAACACATACTGGTTTGGATTGTGTGTCTTTTAAATGTTAGGAACTCACCATGAAAAATGAAATCCAAAAAGGGAAAGCTAGTCTCAACAAAACTTGTCTTTGTTCTAAAATTAGTTTCCAGGAAACAGACAATGCATGGCATGGGGGATGCCTGGCTCTGGCTGAATTAGGCAGAAGAGGATTGTTACTCCCTTCCCGAATCTCAGATGGTGAGTTGTAGTTGCTGAATGTTAGTAAGTTCATGAATTAACAATTTATAGTATTAGAGATTGAATGTGTGACAATAGACTTGAATTTGCTGATGTAAGTGTGCCGAATAATGACTGTAGTATTGAATTCTAGAGTAAAAAATATGCCTACGGGGATATTTAAGGTACTTCTGTCAAAAACATTGTCTTGGGTGTGCCTTTTTTATACTTAATAAATTTTTCTTTCCAAGATGAAATTAATTTCTTGGGGTTTTCTTCTTCCTTCCTCCCTTCCCTCCTTCTCTCCCTCCCTCCCTCCCTCCCTTTCATGTTTCTTTGTACATTTATATAAAATAATTCTGTCTCTATATTGTGTCAGTGTCATTATTTAAATAGAATATATTAAGTAATTGATGACTAACTTGCACTTTAAAGCTAGTAGCTTATACTGTTTGTTTCTGATTAAATTTCAGAGACCAATTTTGTGTGATTTATACAATGAACTGTTCAAGTTTTTCATGGGTTTTTGAAATATCAGGATGGAAAGAAAAATAACAGGGCAGAGGAATTGTTTTTTGTGTATTCTTTATGTATCAACATCCATAGAAGTACAGAGATATTAATGTGAAAGAAGTAGTTCTCTGTTTTGTGATTTTGGTCAGTTTTTTATGGAGTTGAAATGACAAAAGCATAATGTAGTAATACACATCCACTACTGGTCACTTTTACAGCAATATCTTGGGCTAGATGGTTATTTTGATCTCATCTGGTACTCCTGTGTTGAACAAAGAAGTTGAACACTGATTTTCAAAAATGTTTCAAAATGGGTGTTTCATACTATTAAATGACGTTGCCAGATCTCTTCTATTCTGAAGATCTGTTGACTTGTTCTGGAAGAAACTGTAAAATGTGGTATTTAATAGCGTGTATTATTCTGTGTCCATGAAGAGAGGTCATGTCCAATATAGTGTCTGTTTTGCATGTGAGAATTTTTGTGCAGCTCACCTTTCAGTTGGTTTCCCTTTTTCAATTACTCTTGCCCGTGTGATAAAGATTTAATAGTTAAAAAGAGCCCAGCTTTCAGAATGGGAAGTTATCCAATGCTGAGGCTCTTTTTAGTTCTACCAACACTGAAGCTATACACTTCTGTCAGGGAATCAGGATATCCTCATGTAAGAGAATATTTTTTTATGTAAACTGGAAGCTTGATATTGGTAGGACTGCAAAAGACATGGGTGAATCCTAGCTCTGCCAGTGATTTGACACGTGCTGGGAAACCATCTCTCTTCTCTTTTTAGGTTGAGCTTTTGTATGTGTGGAATGGGAATGATAATTGTGTCCTTCACACCATTCTTCTGCAGAGGTGCAGTGAAAATTCATTGCTGCCTGTGAAGGTGATTTTAATACACATAAGTTTATGTGCAAATTTTTAATTTGTCAGATTGCATAAGATGTATCCTTCTGTTACTGGAGTGGAAGAATATAAAACTAAGATGGGGAGGAAGGAAAGGAGGGAACACAATAATGGCAGCAAGGTCTTTCTGGGAAAGAGATAGGCATAAAGGCCTAGGGAAAATGAGTTTATAGGAATTGGAAGTTTCTTACTAAAACAGTGATAAGAGTTCCAACAGTCATTATATAAGAAGAGGGGTAAGAAACCTAATCAGAGACTATATTGACTAAACTGCAACTCCTTTGGTTACCTGATACTCAAGAATGAGTTATACGGAAGGCAGAAATGTATGATATTGTGAAGGATGAGTGAAAGAGAATAGTCTGAATTTGTAGGAATAGAATTTGGAAAGACTTGGACATAAAATGGGATGCAGCTGGCGAAGAATATAACTGGTAATGACAAATCATGTTATATCTTCATCAGAGTCAAATCTTTATTATCACTGAGCAGATCTAGACTGCATGGCAAACTTTATATTGTCCCTTCTGTTTGGTTTTTTTTTTTTTTTTTTTTTTACTTTTGCTTCAATGGGCCTTGATTTCCATTTAAATTAATTTGAAAAAATAATTATACTTAACCCCTGTAATTTACTGTTTAATGGTAAACTTCTTACAATGATCTGGCTAAGCTGTTAGCTTAAAACACCCTAGCCCAAAAAATTGGAAGAGAAATTCTGGGAACTCTACATTGCATTGAATGCAGTTCTGCTTCCTTACATAGGTTTATACCTACTAGTAAGGTTTAGGCAGGTGAGGATGTCTCTTATCTGGATTAATGAATTAATGAGACGTGTATACCCATAGTTTTCAGTGAGTAATACTTAGTCTGAGTTTGTTTTACTTAAACTGATAGTGCGCAATGTGCCAGTTTATGTGAGGTGGAACAGCCTTATTTTGGATATGCTGGACAGCAGCTTTAAGGCAAAGGGAGTTCTGAGGTTTGTCATGTGGAGCTAAGGTACAGATGAATTAATCTGTATCATGAACTTCCTTCACTGAAGGAAGCTCCTTTTTCAGAATTGATTGGTATTCCATGCCAAATTCTACTTGCAAATTGAAAATGTAGCTATCAATTTCTTTACTAATTTTTCTTCAAAATATGTGTTACAGATGGATGTATTTGTAGTTCATTAATGGAGTGGATGTGTAGTGGAAGTATTTGTGTTCATTAATGACTTTCCATATGTTTTATGTACAGGTCACAAATTTATTCGAAAAATTGCAAGTTTATATACACAGTTATAGAAGCAGAAACATAGTTTTAGGATGTATGTAGAAGCACACTGAAACTGATAATTAGTGATACACCTATGCTGAAGTAAGACCTTCACCAGGGGAGTTTGCCTCAGGTGAAATAAATTATATAAATAACCTTTTAGGCTTGGAGGTTGAAGGTTGCCCAATGTCTGTCTAACCTCAGAGGACTAGGCACCTAAATTGATTAGATCTTCAAATTTTCAGTATTGTTTTTATAATGGTTCAGTTAAAGGTAAACGTAAACTGCATTTATTAAGTTGGTGCAGGCTTTCTTTGGTTTAACTTGAATCTTGTTCTTACTCAACATAAGCAAAGCTTGCTTATACCAGGTTTGGACCAGTTTGTTTAAACTGGTGTCTGCCTCTGAGTAACAAAATTTGGTCTGTTGTTTTGTGTTATGGCGTAATGGCAAAGTACATTCATACACAAAACAGGTTTTACAGTAAATTCTAAATAGCCAGGTTTAATCTTGAGCTTATTTAAACTACTGCACAGTGAAATAAAAAGTTTTTCAAAGAAAAAAGACCAAAAAAACCCTATTAAATGAATTTAAGCCTGGAAAAGACTATGACAGTGTGTTATTGAACAATATTGTTTCTAGAGCTTAGACATCTTTTAAGAAAAGAGGTTGTAAAAGTTATTTTACATTAATACAATTGCAAAAAACCTTAAAGATTCATGTACTTTGGCTTTAGTAACGAATGCAAAAATTCACTCATCAAAATCTGAGCTTATACAAGGGGAAGTTCAGTTACTTAAAAATATTAATATAAAATTATGAACATTATTTACATGGGAGAGATTGAATGTATCTTGTCATGGATCAAACCCAATAAGAGGTGGCTTGTAAAAATTTTATGATGTTGGTGGTAACTAGCTTCTATAACCAGAAACTCATTGGCCAGTGAAGTATTAAGATACTCTTGTTCTCTTCCTTAAAGTGAAGACTCTGCTACAGTCATTTGGCCTTACTCTTTTAGTGCCTTGCTGTGATTTTGCCGATTCTTTTTGATTTGTCCTTTTTTGTCCTTTTACTTTTTGGTTGCACTGAGTATCCTGAGTATCAGAAGAATTATGAGTAGCTTCTGTACCTGAAGCATTACTGTCCTGAGGACTCTGCCCTTCGTTGTCCATTCTGGCTTTGCTAGGGCTGTATGCAGCTAGCTGACAGAGAGCTACAGCTGCTGTTTGTTTCTGTTCATCACAGCTGTCAATTATTCTTAAGTCTTGAGCTTCCTTACGGTGAGCTACAAAAGAAGATTTGTCACAGGCACTGTTACTAGGGTTCTTGGGGTTACATGCATCTGCTCCAGAGGTTTCATTTTCGGTGTTTGGAGAAGTAGCAGCACCATTATCGTGAGACGGACTGTGGAATGACGGTTTCAGGCTTACTGTGTTACAGGAATCTTTTACGGAGAGGTTCAGAGGCATGTCTTGCAATTCTAGAAAGTTCTGGCTTTCTGTTTTGGATGTGGTTTTGTATGCATGCTCGTGAATAGGTCCTGTGTTTGTGTCAGCCTTTTTTGAAAGATTAAGGGGAACTATCCCTGTGTCGTCTTCCGTGTTGGACAGTGAGCCTTCATTGTTATGGCATTCGTTCTGCGTGTGTGAATCTTCATCAGTGACGCTAATGCTGAAAGAAATGAGGAGAAAAGAAAATTCACTATCAATTGCTTTTTTAAATTGGGGCTGAGGAAGCAGGCAGGAAGAAGAGAAAAACACCTCTCTAGAAGTCTGACAATTTTGTTGTTTCTCTTTTTAACTCCCCCAAGTCCCTTTCACCATATGTATTACTGTAATGCAGGTAATTTCCTGAAATATACCGACACATGCATAGTAATGGTACTGGAAATACCTGATACACTTAAGGAGGATGAGTGGTCTACTCACTATAGCAACTGAGAGTTGTACTGTGTTTTGTACAGTTAATACAGAACAAATTATCTCAATGCTGTAAATTTAAATATATTTTAGGGACACTGCATGAAACGTGTCCATCTGTCTTTGCTTCCCTAATAAATCTGACAAGAATTTGCGGAGTGATTTTGTTATTTTACCTGGTAGGTGAGTCTCCTCTATCTTGATTTGTCTTCACGCTTTGAAGTGGAGTTGGTTGATCAGTGCTCTTTCTCACAGGTCTGAAAGCTGTCAAGTTTTCTTCTGGTTGATCATACTTGCCAAGCGATGTGGAAGAGGACTTGTTAGAGAGGTCAAATAAGCCTTCGCATGCATGGCTTGTCTGAGTGAAATTGGTTGGGCTAGGTCTGCCTGGGGAGCCTGTTGCCGCGCTTCCTGCAAGAGGGCTCATT